GGGCATCAATGCGGCCAAGCTGAGCAGCCTGGCCGTTGGTGAGGTCGTTCATGGCGCCAAGAGCCAAGTTGAACCCGGAGCCAGCGTGGTCGATGGCGAGAACGTTGATGCTCTTGCCGTTGTAGGTGAGCTGCCAGCAGGTGCCACACTATCGTGTGTGTTAACAAGTGTTGGCGAAGGTATGAGGAAAGAAGAGTGAAACTTACGTTGGGGGAGTTCCAGCCGGCGATGGCGTCAGCGCCACCGATGTAGGGGAACTTTGCGACCTGGCCCTGGTTCTGCCATCCGTACTTTGTGATGAGGCCGTTGGCGCCGTCGGAGCAGGAGACGGCGGTCAGGGAGCGGGAACCGTCGTCGTAGCCGGTGTCGTAGGAGACGGAGACGGCGGCCGCGGCGGCGATGGAGGAGAGGATGGTGACGAGGTTGGAGAACTGCATCTTGAATGTGGTGTTTGGGGTGGTGAAGGTGTGGTTGAGGTGGTGTTGTAGATGGAGCTAGGGAAGCTTGTTTTTAGAGTTGTATGATTGTAGTAGTTGGAGATGCTGGTGTAGAAGCTGATGAGGTTGAGAGAGAAGTTAATCGAAGGAGGCGAGTCTTCGGTCTCTTCTTATACAGCCTCGATCTCAGCTCGTCCCTAACAATGATCAGCCTCTTCACTACTTTAGGCTCTATCACCAGACCCGAACCGAAGCGGATCATGGTCTCCAACGACAAAGACAGCAAGAAGGCGGGAAAAAGTCATCCATGACGTTGCGGTCTCTCCGGCAATAGCGTCATGTCGTGACATGGCCGGCAACAGGACCCTTGGCCGGCTTGGCGAGGACTCCATACTACATGTCACATCGTATGGGATGACTGCCGGAGAGGGGACAAGCCTTCCCCAGGGTTCCTTCAATTCGTATTGAGCGGCGCAGTTTACGGGAAGCAAGGGAAAAGAGAGAGTTGATCCGTAGTCTGTAGAAAAAGCACCACCTGCACTGCCGATCACAGATCTGGTTTATTAACGTGGGGAAAGGGCCACTAGAAGGAGGCGAGGATTATTCTCGTATTCACTAGCCCCGATTTCCCAGCGCCGTTAGGGGGCTCACGCTCATGGCATGGGGCGGGAACAAACACGCGATGCCTCGAATTGGCTGCTGCTGCGACGGACCGGCGACGGTGTGTAGTTGACCGTCGCATGCGACAGGGCTGTCATCCTGGGCTGTTTTTAGCAATTAAACACCGCTAAGGTTATTTGGGTTTAGCATTCCCTGGTTCCGCATCTTTGCCCCGGTTTGCCAGCCTCTCTTTCCTTCCAGCCGCTTGAGAAGGGAGAAGTAAACTGATTCCGAATGAGACTATCACAACTCAACGTATGCTCTTTGGAACAATATATTTTGCTTGTTTTTTTTTTTACATCCTTCTGAACTTATTTGGGCCGTCGCAGAGGAGCCTCCTCGATTCAATATGCAGGACTTGGCTCATTTGTGCGTCGGGCGACTTTCCCGCCAACAGGTGTTGATCTCTTGTTTTTCCCCACACAATGCCGGCGGGACGTAACGTCAGGTGGCTCTTTTTTCCTCGTGTTGCTTCTGGTCGCCAGAAACGGTTTCTTCGCCAACGCATGCGTCCGCTGCCCGCTGCGACCTTACTGTTTCCTCGTCGTACAGGAAGAGGAAAAAAAGACTTGACATGAAAAACCCCGAATCCGAGTGGTCGGGGCTTGCATCCTCGGAGGATTGGGGCTGGCGTTCTGCGATGCAAACGTCGAGCGTCATGGGCTTACGGCTGTGGCGGGCGCCATCCCACGTTCAGATGAGCCCCAAAAGTCAGACCTACGTACCGCAACCACGGGCACAGCATGAAGAGGAGAGACCTCGACGCCAGTGAGCGCCGGCGCCGAGTCTAACAAATCGTAGCTCGCTCATGATGGCGAAGCAGTAGGGCAGTGGGCAACTTGGTAGCCCGTAGCCCTCATTCGCCTTCCGTCTATTGGCATAAGGAGCGCTTCATGCTGACCATCCGCGGCGTCGAGCAACGTTACAAGCGCGCAAGCGCGGATCAGCACGCGCAGTCTCACTCGTCTGGGACAAATGGGCCGATCGCTGTGTTCGTCGCTGCGTCGCCGTCCGCGGGGTGTCCGATGTATCCGAGCTTCGCCGCCCTTTTTTTGTGATGCTCTTCTAAGTGATCGTCTTTGAGCTGAGAATAGATGCTGGTCATGGCCACAACGCTTGTGGCATCTGCATAGCAAGTGAATCTCCATCCGTAGCTCCGCAACTCCAGAATGGAGCTTTCCGATGCGATTGGCAAGCATTTGCGATGGACGGTGGAGTATGCGGTTGGCTCGGCAGAACACGAGCTCTTGTCCTGATCCCCGCTTGCTTTTGGGAGTTCCTGATAGATCTTCGACGAGGGAGGCGGTGAATGGTCGTCACTGTGAGACCCCTCCTGGCAGCGAGCCCTTCGGAATTACATTCCGTGCTTAAGGCGGCTCTTCGTGAAGAGAGCCACGATCATTTCGAGTATTGGGAGAAAGATGCCCAGTCAGGCTACTGACTCGGCTGTCTGCAGTCTCGGGGACTACCCGAAGGCGAGTTGCTCGCAGGAAGACGGCGATACGAGATGGAGTTTGGAGATGGGCTGATGTAAGGTCGGGAAGAGAATAGATTAATACGGATGACATCCCAACTTGTCAAGGGGAATGCTATTCAAGTCGCTGCGATAGATCACGAGGAGCTCCTCAAGAGATCGACACTTCTGTGGTCCGCCTGAAGTATTGCTATCATCAGACGAGCATCTTGACCGAGTGTGGAACTCTTGGCAGTTTGTTGACGAGGCTGGTTATGTTGGTAAGTCGACAAGTCAAAAGGCAACAGATGCCGCCAGCTTCTGAAATCAGTCGAAAGCTGAGAGCAGTGAGCAGTATGTCACACAGCCTGACCCCGGGATGAGGCATGAGATGTAGTTGCAAGATGCAGCTGTCATTGGCAAGAGGCTCCGAGCAGAGAAAGTCAAAGGAAATTGGATGAGAAGGAAGAGGCTACGCGATAAGATAAGATAGAGCTGCAGGTGTGGTCACCTCATTTCAGTGAGGTGAGGTGCGCTGAGTGGAGGATGTTCAGCCTTGGAGCAGGGCGATAAGACACTGACACTGCGCTGAGAGCTGACCGTGCATTGAGCAGCATCCAGTACTCTCATTGGCCAATGGCCGCCCGGAGGGACACCCCGCACTCGAAGGGGACGTACCTGTGTACACTGTAGGGCTTCACCCCACCAGGAAGCAGCGCCGGGCCGCTGAGACGCTCCGGTCATCGGGCGACGTCCAATTTTTTTGAGTCACGAACGACACCAGTTTAAGCAATACTGAGCTAGACTCACTCTCATTTTCACTTTTCTGCGTGAGATTTCATACTCGTCTCACGTAAAAGCCACCAGAAGGTATCACAGATCCATTCCATAACCTCCATTGAGACAACCGTCGATCGACGTGAAGCTTTCACCCCGCCTCACCGAATTGATCTGAACCCCTCACCTCATCCTATCTCCTCAGCCCACACACACACTCACACACTCACCCCCTTCCCTCATCCAACCAACTTACACCGCCCGCCAGCCTCGCCTACCATGACCAAAGAAACATTCGTGATCAAGACGCCCTCGTCCTCGGCCAACATCGGCCCCGGCTTCGACGTCATCGGCCTCGCCCTCTCCGTCTACCTCGAGCTGCACGTCACCGTCGACCGCTCAAAGACCTCCTCCTCGGAGCCCCTCAACTGCCGCCTCACCTACGAGGGCCAGGGTGAGGGCTCCTCTGATATCAGCCTCGACCCGTCCGTCAACCTCATCACCCGCGTCGCCCTCTACGTCCTGCGGTGCCACGGCCAGCGCATGTTCCCTGTCGAGACCCATGTCCACATCAAGAACCCCATCCCGCTCGGCCGCGGCCTCGGTAGCTCCGGCTCCGCTGTCGTTGCCGGCGTCATGCTCGGAAAGGAGGTCGGACACCTGGATCACCTCAGCTTGGACAGACTATTCGACTTCTGTTTGATGATTGGTGAGTAACCCCTTTCTTCAGTATTAATACCCTCGACATCCCCAGTGCAGTGGTACTCACAAAAAAACCAGAGAGACACCCCGACAACGTCGGCGCCTCGCTATACGGCGGCTTCGTCGGCACCTATCTCCGCCCCCTGAAGCCCGAAGACGTTCAGCGCATCGAGATCCCCCTCAGCGAAGTCCTACCCGCCCCGGCAGGCGGCGTCGACACGGGCGAGACCCCGCCGGAGCCGCCCCACGGCATCGGCCACCACATCAAGTTCCCCTGGGCCAAGGAGATCAAGGCCATCGCCATCATCCCCGACTTCCAGGTCCCCACCCACCTCGCCCGTGAGGTGCTGCCGCCTCACTACACCCGTCCCGATGTTGTAAGTGCCTCTTGACCCCCAAAAGGGGCATCGTTGCGTTTTTCCTACCTCGACTAACCCAAAACGCAGACCTTCAACATGCAGAGAATAGCTCTTCTCCCTGTAGCCCTGGGCACTTCCCCCCCAGACCCGGAACTCATCCACCTGGCAATGCAAGACAAGATCCACCAGCCCTACCGCCAGACCCTTATCCCGGGCCTGAGCCAGATCGTCGAGGGCATGTCCCCCAGCACGCAGCCGGGCTTCCTCGGCGTCTGCCTCTCCGGCGCGGGTCCCACCATCCTCGCGCTCGCCACGAGCAACTTTGAGGAGATTGCCAACAAGATCATCAAGATTCTCAGGGAGAACAACGCCGATAAGAATGTCGGCTGCGAGTGGAAGATTCTGGAGCCCGCTGAGGGAACGCAGGTTATCCGGTGAGAGGCGAGATTGAGCTGGCGAAAGGAAAAAGGGTTGAAAACTTAGAACACGGATTTGGGCGAGTGGCCACGTTATCAAGCATTTAGAGGTCGGGAAATTTGGAATCTCGTTATGATACCCAGATGACCACCGGGAAGTCCGACCCGTTCTATGGCCATCCTGAGGCTTCTTGATCTACTTGCTTTGCAGTACTCCATCGGTTGGCCACGTCGCGACCTTGTCCAGATATGTCCTCAACCTATCCTCAAACGCCTCCCCATTCCAGCACTCTCTGCCGTCGATGACCTCTCTCCGAGGCGGACCAATCTGCTCGATAACGAAGCCGGCCGCCACAGACCCATACGCGGACGCAAGCACCGCGTCATCCGTTCTCGCGAAAGCAACTGCAAATGCTCCGAGGAACGCATTCCCGGCGCCTGTGGGGTCTTGGACTTTCGAAGAGCCATGGTCGTAGAAAGGGGGCAGCCATATCGGGTTGCCGCCCCGGGGAATCGTGAGACAGCCCTGTTCGCCGCACCTGATGACCGTGACCCGCGGTCTGTTCCGCACTTCCTTGAGCAATGCAGAATGCCCCGATGCCTTGATATCACTTGAGAGGTTGATGGCATGGTATTCGATAAGTGCCCTATTGTAGGGTATCCCAGGGCCCTCGTGTATGCCCTTCATACGTAGGAGTTCGTGGTCGTTTGGAGAACAGATATCTGAAAGGTGGAGGGCTCTCATGTGCTCGGCCTCGCGGTCGTGAATGTTGATAGGTGAGGGTTCCCATGCGATTAGGGAACTTGGGTTCTCCATTTCACCGCGGAGGTTTGTGAGGGTTTCCATATGACGTTCGAGATCTTCTGGTGTCGCTAGGGTGTGAACCACCGAGGATCGAAGAAGCGGTTCAGGAAGCCGGGCTAGATTCGGGTGTAATGGTGGCACAGTATATCGAAACGTCTTTTCTGCGAGTCGATGTTAGTCCGGGTACGTGATTCATGCAGGAAAGATATCAGCAACTCACTTCCAAAGGCATCATTCTCATATTCCAAAAGACCTCTCGTTGACAGCCTATCCGGCGTCTCGTCATAATGAACGGTGACACCCCATCCCGCAATCTGCTGTCTCACAGCAGTCGGGAAGTCAGATCCAGCCGTAATGACACAACACACATTCGCAGACTCATTTTGCGGAATGGCAAGGCGTGCGCCGAGAGTACCTAACCAATATTAGAAGCTGAGCTTCACCCTCTGAAATATTCCCAAGAAAGCGACACCGAGGAAGAAGAAGAAGCCAACAATAGGTGAGGCTCAAAGTCCGGCTGCCACAGCTTCCACTCACCATAAAACCCAGAACCGCCGGGAACGTCGCGAAGAACTCTCCCGTCCGGAAAGCGGAGCTCATCAATCACAACCATGCCGAGCGAAATAAAAGCCGGAGCCGGCGACCCCATCTCCGGCTCCGGACCGCCCGGCGATTCGGACATCATGATTGGCTGTTCACGTTTGGCAGGTCCCGGGGTGCTTAGACTCATTACGCCCCGGAATGAGATGGCAGAAGTTTGAGGTCTTGTTGAGAGAGACACACCACACCCGGCCCCCGTTTGAGACCTTTTCGCCCGCAGCCAAACACGTGGGCGGGGTGAGGCGAAATGATTGGATCCTCGTAATTCCGAGCTGCGCTCCCTGCGAAGGGCTGGAGAATATGGATAGGTACGCAAGGTATGGGGGGGAGGCCCATGCCAAAAAGGTTGTTACGACGATGTCCATCCATCTCCCGGGCCCGGCCCGTCTCTTTGCTCATCCGCGGATCTCGAATAGATGATATCTGCCACACCAGCTTGTTGCTCTATGTTTCAAACGCCATTATCACAGCTCGTGGACCAATAACGCCACAGCGGCTTTAACGACGTATCGTTGGCCGCGGCCACTGTGTGTCCAGAGACAATCTCTTATCTTAGACAAGCTCCCGCGTCCGGTATCCTCGCCGCGACCGCCCCGAAACGTATAATTCTCCCTGGCGATCCGCGTGTCTGAGATCATGAAATGTGACTGGGCACTGAGGCGAAGACGGCACCTCGGATTCGTGGATTAGGGGCAGCATGGGAATGAGCGGTGAATGTGAAATCGCCCGCATCTCATTCGCCTCACTGAGTGTTCCAATGTAAGAGGCTCAGAGAGGTAGGCATAGGTAGGGTACTCCCGAGTGCCTGGATGCCAATCACGCGTTCCTGATCACCAATCTCGAATAAGCCAGGCCCGGCGGCATGTTTCTTTTTGAATGATCCTTATTTGTGCGTGTTGGTATCTAAATCGTCGGCGCGCATACATACCTACCCTTTCAGACAGCATTGCATTTGCATTTGCATGGAACATATGCGTACTTACACATGAAGTAGGCATTCGAGAAGGCAAAACAGTAGAACGAGGCCATCGATATCGCGCCACATGTAGGCGCCAATCGTAATTACTACATGAGAGATTCGCGGCGTGGCCGGACGCAGATGAGGCGTGTATCAGTCAAGCCACCCCGTCTGGAGCTCATTCGCAAGAATGAGCTCCCAATGAGCTCCCCATGGGATTCCCGATAATGGATTTCCACAGTGTAGTTCTTCTTTCAAGGTACAATCTTGTCAAAGAAGCCGAGCCGAAGCATTCTGTCAGTCTCCCCAGCACAACTAACCTGGTCCAAGAATCAAACTTCATACACGGGAGCGGCAGACGTCGTCGCACGGCCGTCGCCCCGTCCGAGACGCCATGGGCTACTAAAAATACCGGCGCTGGGGAATAACAAGAGTCGAACCAGAATTTCCAGACACACGCCAGAAGGAACAGACTCCAGGGCCTTCCCTTGATCGAGGAACCGGGCCAGTGGTTCCTCTCAGAGCTTTTCCCCTCGCACAGACTCGGCCCTGATTCGTGTGTCTTTTTTGGTGGTTCCAGCCATTAAAGAATTGTCCGAACGACCCCCACGGCGACGGGTTGGTCTGATGTTCGGCGATAGATACCTCGCTCTCCGACCTCTTCTTCTCGGTTTTAATCCGTCCGCTTGCATGGGCGCGAGTATCAGAACGTTCGGGATTCTAGGCCTCCTTCTTCGGCGCTTCTCCTTGCCGTCGTCATCAAGGATCCGTTTTCGAAGGCTTCTTCATGAATCAGGTTCTTGTCGTCTCGATGGAGTCTTGTTCATGACTTCATGGTCCATGGGGGGTGAATATCGCCGAGTTGCTCGGAGGTCTAGTTCGGACAGCGAACAACAGATTGAGACGCCGTCTGAAGTGTAGCTTGCCACACCTTGCATAAGCTTCAAGGATTGGCAGTGAACTACATAGTATACGCGGATGAGAGAGGAACAATTTTGAAGGTGCCGTTCGCACCGAGTAGGGGTGCACAAGACCGATTCAAGATGCGCTGTTTGCTTACCCGCCCAACCTGGCAATTTGAACCGTCAAACATCCTCAAGTCGGAGAACGATTGCCGTACAACTGTCGTGGGTCGCCGTCTGTGACGGTGGACATTTCGAGAAGGACATGGGATTCTGGCAAGGTTTCCCAACGATCTGGCCATGCGCCGATCGTCCTTCTTCTGTGGCCAATCATACCGACGCCAATTCAGTGAGTAATTCGACCTGCGGCAGCGGCACAAACACCCCCGGGACGGTGGATCTAAACCCCAAGCGGTGAGCCCAAGAAGCTATGGAGCTCCCCTGAGCTTCCAGGTCCCGGCTTGCCTACCAACCACCAGCGTATCGTGCCAGTGTGTAGCTTTGCCCTGTGTATCTGTCCGTCATCTCGTTTATACCTTGATGCACTGTCCTAGGTGCAATTTCCACCATGTTGGCAGGCAAATAGATTGGCCTTGGCTCAGTGCGATCTTCGGAGGGTTAATTCACGAGCCCAGAGTCAAGCCTCAACGGTTCGCCCTGTCCGCCATCTGGCCCTGAGCGACTGGCCAGTGATGTCGAGCGAGAGAACCCCATCCAGGCCAGGCATGCCCAGCCGACAAGGGCGATCATGGGGTTGCAGGTCCCCCGGCGGCAGGGGGGGGAATACGCTAACCAGCCCCAGCATGTCTTGGTTGGCAGGCGTGGCAGGGCAGGGCGGTACCTATGTTACGACGATTCTTTGGGACAATCCCAGGGGCGACCACGGCGAAAGGAGAACTTGCGATCCAAAGAGGCCAGAGTCCAGAGTCCAGGACGGAAGCTCGACGAGAGTGTCTAAGAACGGACGACGAAAACAGGAACGGGAAGCGCTACGATGGCCAAGCCAGCCGTTGCTGAAGAGAGAGAATAATAGCGAGGATGGATGGAGACGACGGAAAAAGGACGCCAATGCGCGTCTCGGTCAACAAATCTTCAAGTGGCAGACCAGCCGTGCCTTAGCCCTGAGCGAGTCTGACGGTTCGTCCAGCGGGCCCTGACACGCCAGAGTAAGGTGTAGTAACAGCGAGCGTCAGTGGTGCGTCTGTGGTTCATAGTGCGCGGGTGTGAGAGCGAAGGAAGTGTGAGGTGGCTGCTGAGTGTTGTACTCCGTTCAGATGGCCGTGTTGGTGACGGTTGCTTGGGCTGTTGACCGAGAGGATTGACGAAGAGAGAAGTATCCTTGTACCTTTACTAAGGCATCTTAAGTAAGCACTGGTACGTAGTGTGGTGTGAGTGGGGGCAAAGGGACGGGAAGCCGGCGTGCATGTACCGGGGGACCCGCAGCTGGCCCAAGCTCCTCAACGTCTCGAAGCTTTTGGTTTCCCTTCCAAGTTCCCTGTCCTTCTTTTTGCCTGTCCCCCGTTTCTGTCTTCTGTTCCTGCTCGCCTCGAGTTCCCTTCCCCCAAGCACCAAGCAGGGACCTGGAGACTGTCAAGGCGAAAGTCAACCCGCGCTGTCAGTGCCAGTCAATATTGTCGTAGCCAAGCTCCTTCTGATTCATAAGTAGAAATTGTAGTCGACAAAGAGTCAATAACGCTTCACGCTTCCCCAGTGCACAGCCTAAGAGCCAGCCATGCCATACGGAGTACCATGCCATGCCAACTCAGCTCAACAAGCATTTTGATGGATACCTGACGTTTCGATGGGTACGGAGGGCGCCGCGCGATCTGCAATTCCGCATAGTCATATTCTCAAGTTAATGCCGTCCCTGAAAATCATCACAAACATCGACACCGAGTCGTGGAGCCAGCCACGTAACAGTGCCTAAACTCCGGTGACATTGGTCAGCGATACTTGCTGTGTATTCACTGGCGCGCCCAGGCGACTCTGTCATGCGACGGATCTGTGGAGTCCCAGTTTGGTATCTGGGGTTTTCTGTTTACTCCTGCTCTGCTACTGTGACAATCTGTCCAGGGACCAGCCAGGCTTGAAAGGGTTGTGGATGTCTCTATTTCTGTTGAGGAGGGCGTGTCTAACAACACCCAGCCCGTTCCTTATCGGTATCACCGGGAATCCCCCAAGAGCCCATGGGGACGTTGGAACGTGTCTGTCTGACATCAAGCTATCGCCGTTGCCTCTGAGTCTGCTTCGTCTGCTTGACCAACGTCGTCCCCTGCATCTTCAGTGTCAATCTCTTAGAGGGAACCGCTCGTCATCCCCCCCTCCATCAACTTCCTCGCCTTCACACCACCACGACTCGCTCGTCTCTTCGATCATCGAACTTGGCATCACGATGGGAACTATGACAATCTGACACCCGAAAGCCAGTTCGCAGTTGGCACTAGTTTAGACTCGCACAACCAAGCAAATCACTGCACGGTGACACCAACCGCGAATTTGATAGGTTTCTGGGTTGGGGTTGGCGGAATAGGCTCGGCCGTTCTCGCTCAATCTTCCACCCTCCTCCCTATGGACAGAAGCGCTATGGCAACCCACGCTCGCCTACTCCTACCTTACTGCTTACCTCCCGTCCGGTGCCCGCCTTGGCAGGGTCACGAAGCTGCTTCATCGCAGTACCCGACCACCTCGAAGAAACCAAGTGAACCACCGAACCCGGTCCAGGCTCCACGGATAGGGTCTTCTTTGCCTGAACGTGCTCATCGCAGACACGTGCCCTATCCTTGCTCTCTCTCGTCCTTGCGCATCGATGGATATGTCTCTCTTGTCTCCAGCGCCTCGTTTCCTGCCAAGTTTAGATATAGAGTACTGGGCCCACTGTCACAGTGAATCTGCAAACAGCAGCCGTTCCATTCTCCACAGAACGGAACTAGATTGGCACGATTGGCACGGTTAGAATCTGTGTCCGACTCCGCGGGAGGTCACTGAAAGGTAAGTATCAGTCCTCACACCACCACCACAATGCAGAACCCTGGGTTCAGCGCCAGTAGATCCCAGATCCAGGAGCGGTGACGGTAACAGCAACAGCATTTTACAAAATCCCTGAGAGCTTTGAGGGGAGTTGGGGTAGGTTGGCTGGAAATACATGCCATACCCGCGCCATTCCCCTCCCGTCGTCAGCTCACGCGGCGCCCCGCGCAGATCGGGGCGGTCTGGTGCCCAGACTGC